GTGCTTGCCTAGCGTGCACAAGGCCCTGGGTTCAATTCCTCAGTACCACATAAACAAAAAATAAAATAAACAAAAAAAGTGGTATCAGTAGGAACTTTACAGATCACCAAGACCTGTAGCTTGGCGAAGAAGAGTTTTCTGAACAGAACATTAGACAATCCTAAGATGTACAGGTGCTGGTGATAGACTTCCATGCTTGTGCCCGATTCCCATGGGTCAACATCTGAGAGGATGTTTATGCACTCGAATGACTTTGGGCTTTTCACCTTCACAGCTCCAACCACACAGCTTTCGGCCCCTCTTTTGCATCTACCAGTCCCATGTGTTTCCTTCAGGGAGGAGGAGGGAGGAGGTTCTTCTGCTAATGTGAGGGGAGGGGTGGGGGGGAAGAGAAAGAAATCATTTAGATCCTTCAATTTAGTAATATAATACATATAATACAATATCATTTCACAGTCAATTGTGGAATAAGACTCTCCTGGCTCAAAGCGCAGATTTCTTGCTGCTGCACCCTGCTGTCACTTTGGGGAGCTTAGAAAGATATTGAGGAAAGGTATTGTTTTTCAGATCCTTTGGTCTCACTGCATCTTCTAATCACTGTTGAGAAAGGGCTAGTCAAAGAGAGTGCACTGGATCTGACTGCAAAGCTAGAGTCCCCCAAAGAGGAAGCTCACCCTCTGGACAGAATCAGCAAGCACTCAGTGCGCCTCTGTGCTCTCAGTTCTATCTGTTCTCAAATGCCAGCTCACGGCCATTCTGATTCCTTGCAGAAGTAAAATGAATCCAGGTGCTCTGGTCCTCAACCCAGGCTTCCTTGCCTGCTAGACTGTGAGTTTGAAATTGGGGCTCTACACTCTTGTTTTGTGTTGCTTAGACTACTCACCAGAGAGCAGGGCTGTAAAACACCCTTTATCTAGCCAGAAACCTTTCACCTACTCCAAAGAGTTTATCTTGGTGTACATCACTCTGAACTCACGGAGGGATCATGTTGTTCCTCCTTCACCTTCCTCTCCCCTGCAGTCCTCAAGCTGTGCTACCAAATGTATCAAATGTATAGGGCCCTGTTCAATTGCCTTTGTGCTCATGTTTCCAAAAAGCACCCAGATAGATTTGTCCTTTTTCTTTTGGCTTTAACTTTTTTACTTTGTTATTATAAAGGTGATATACAGACAGATGACAGTTACCAACTGTATCGAGTATCCTCTTTCAGGGTCACTATGTGTGAGTGTCTAGAGTCCTGTTCGATTTATCATATCCCACTGTATTTTAGATCTAACTTTCGCGTATGAAGAACCCATATGCCATTTGTTTCTCTGAGCTTGGCTTTTTCACTTAACATGATTTGTTCTAGTCTGTCCATTTCCCTGAAGGTGATGTTATTTTTTCTAATGGATGTATAAAACTCCATTGTGTATATGTGCTACATTTTTTGGATCCACTCATCTCTTGCAGGGCATCTGGGCTGTTTCCACAACTTGGCTTTTGTGGACAGTGTGGCAATGAACATGGGTGTGCCAGTGTCTTTATGGTATCCTGGCTTGTGATGTTCAGGGTAGATGCCCAGGAGTGGTATGGCTGGGTTGTAGGGAAGATCTATGTTTAGTTTTTTGAGGAATCTCCAGACTGCTGTCAAGAGTGGTTGTACTAGTTGATATACTCATTCTTGAATTACAAAGTGACAAAAGGTACAAGCTACCATACCAGACTGTATGGATAATCTCTATAAATTAAATGAATATGTACTCATGGTTGTTTGATGCAGTATTACTATGTAAATGACTAAGGTTGAATTTAATTGTGTTATTCAATTTTGTTTGTATCCTTACTGTTTTTTTTTGTTTTTTTTTACTTGCTCTGAGTTACTGAGAGATGTGTGTTGAAATCTTTTTTTTTTTTTTGTCAGCCGTGGGGCTTGAACTCTGGGCCTGAGCGCTGTCCCTCAGCTCTTCAGCTCAAGGCTAGCACTCTACCACTTGAACTACAACGCCATTTCTGGTTTTCTGGTGGTTTATTGGAGATAAGAGTTTCACAGACTTTCCTGCCCGGGCTGGCTTTGAACCAAGATCCTCAGATCTCAGCCTCCTGAGTAGCTAGGATTACAAGCGTGAGCTGCCAGCACCCGGCTATGTGTTGAAATCTTTTACAGTCTTTATAATCTGTATATTACTAGTTAAAGACTATATCCTTTTTCTCTACTCATTCATAGTCTTTTTCTTTCTTGAACCTATGTCCTTGTAACTGTTGATTGAATGAAACATAGTATCCATAAAGAATAAGCGATATTGGGCAAGCAGGGGAGTTTTCTCTGGAGCAATTTCTTTTGTTTGATCAAGCATGTAGAGCAGGCAGACCAGACCGTAATCCAATAAGGCCTTGAGTGGCTATGCTGATAGAAAGGTAGTTCTGGTAGTTTTTAGGCCTTCATCTTAAGGTGTGGCCTTCAGGGCTGTTAAATCCATGGCATATTCTCCCGAACTTCATCCTTGGTGGCCTCCCAACTCAAATTGTCATCCCCAGTACCATGGACCTGTCAGCAGCTCTATTGAACTGCGTAGCCCCTCACTGCTGCTGCTATCTGAACCGAGGTTCAGTCACTTCGCCATGAGCAGATGCTCAAAGGCAGGATGTTGGCCTGTCTTGCTTTTCCTTTCTCTGGATCTGCCCCAAAGGGAGCTGGACAAAACATTTGCTTACCTACCATACCTGTCTCCAAATAGTGACTTTTTGCCCTGGGCTGAAAAATCCATAGACAATGAAAAAGGTAAAGTGGCACCATGGTACCTAACTTACTTCCATTTTATTTCCTATCTCCTTAAGATCTCAGTCTCTCATGACACTGCCTCCACTGCCTTTGCTTTTGTTTGGAGACAGGGTCTCACTACGAAGCTCAGGTGGGCTCTGAACTCATGATCTTCCTGCTCTTGCCTCTGAGTGCTGGGATTATAGGTGTGGACTACCACCTCTGGCTCTTCCAATGCTGTTGAATAGGATTTTGAAATTATTTGCACCTGGTTTTTATAGTTATGTTCAGTGGGAAGCTGGTCCGATACATGCTAATAGCCAGAACAAAGATGTGCATGCATGTGTATGTGCACACGTGCCTCTGAATATATATTATATATTATATATATTATATATCCATATATATTATATATTTATTATATTATATATAATAATTATATATATATATATATTACACATACACACACACACACACACACACACACACACACACACACACACACACAGGGTCTTCCCCCAGAGCAGATAGATGTCCCAGACCTGGGATTTGGGGTGGTTTTCTCCTGCATCATTGCCTAAAGAGCTCATCTGGTTTCTCTGGGTTTTGTAAAGGATATACTTGAATCTGGGTTGTTTCCTGGACACATCCCTCCTCTGTTGCCATTTAAATACAGTTATTTTGTCCTGATTTTCATCTAGAGAGTTATAGAAGGGATGTAGATGTCCTACCCACAGGGAGCTTCCTGGCTAACGTGGTAAAGTGTGGTTTGTATTTGTGTGCAAAGGTGGCTTCACTTTGCGAAGGAGGAGATAACCTCACGTTGTGAGGAAGGAGATAGCCTCATGATTCCAGCTTTCATTCCCTGCTAGATCAAATTTGTGTCTTTGAGAAGCTCCTAGGATTTTAGCTAGCCTACCCTGAAGGATCAATGTGAGACTCCTGAGTATAAGAACATACGAGTCTTTTGTTTATTGTAAAAATACTGTACAGAGGGGTTACAATTACATGGGCAAGATAATGAGTACATTTCTTATCAAGCATTGTAGCCTCCTCCTTTGTTTCCTCTTCCCATCCCTTCCCATTCTCCCCCCCATCCCCCCAATCCTCCCCGCCTCCCCCCACCAAAGTTGTAAAGTTCGTTTTCGACATAACGACATAACGACATCTCATTGTTGCAATGGGTCCACCTGTATCCCTATTTAAACAATTTGTTTTTCCCCTTCCAAGAACATATAAGTCTTGATATCTGTGAATGTGATTCTTTTCATCTGAAAAGTGGGCACAGTTTATAATAAATGTTTATAACGCTCTACAATAAAACTTACAATAATAGCTAGATGCTGGTGGCTCACACCTGTAATCCTAGCTACTCAAGAAGCTGAGGTTTGAGGATTGTGGTTCTAAGCCAACCTGGGCAGGAAAGTCCATGACATTCTTACCTCTAACTACTAAAAAACTGGAAATGAGCCAGCTGCTCGTGGCTCACACCTGTAATCCTAGCTACCCAGGAGGCTGAGATCTAAGGATTGTTGTTTAAAGCCAGCCCAGGCAGAAAAATCTGTGAGACTTATTGCTAATAAATTACTCAGAAAATGCTGGAAGTGGCATTGTGGCTCAATTGGTAGAGCACTAGCCTTGACCACAGAGAGGCTCAGGTATAGAGCCCAGGCCCTGAGTTCAAGCCCCAGGACCAGCAAAACAAATAAACAAAACTGGAAGTGGAGCTGTGACTCAAGTGGTAGAGTGCTAGCCTTAAGTTAAAAAAGCTCAGGGACAGTGCCCAGGCACTGAGTTCAAGCCACACTCACACTCTCACACACACACACACACACACACACAAACACACACACATACACACATTTAGAATAAGCAATAAGAATTGCTCAGCAAAACTAGCAAATAAGTCAACAAAATATTCAAAGAAGGCAAAGAAGGGGAAAATGCAGACAAGAATCCAATATATATTTTACAAAATTAAGAAGAATGAAGAAAGTGTAGGGAAGGGATGGGTGAGAATGTTGAAAGGGGTGACATTGATCAAGATATACTGTACTCATAAACTATCTTGTACTACTGCTTTGTACAACTACTTAAACATAATAAAAATAACAAAAATACATTATTATATGTATTTTAAAGCCCTCTCAACTTCTACATACTGATTTTTGCCAGGAAATGGAGGAGAAATTCATTTTGAAAGCTTTCAAGAGAGGAATAGACATCAAATGTTTTGGGTTTTGTTTTTTCTCAACAGTTCATGAGAGATTCCCAGGTGTTCTGGGCAATGTGTCCCATTTCCTGATGCACTCAGCAGAAGGTGAATTTTCCTTTATACAAGAAGAAAATCTTGGTGGAGAATTACACAACAACAAAAGGACTTGTGTCTGTGAATGAAGGTAAGTTGCCTGTGCAGAGAATGGAGCAGGAAGTTGCTTATGAAGCACATTCATTGGTTCTGAAGGGGTCTTTGAGATGGAGAGTATGTGCTTCACTAAGTATCCAGTTAGGAGATCCTTGTCACCAACAATCTTCCAAGCCTAGGTTTCACTTCCTCCATCTACTGGCCAGCTAAGCTAATATGGATAAATTCTCTGAATCTTTTCTTTCTTTTATAAAAGAAAATTTCACAGGTGAAAGCTTTGAAAATGGGAGGAGCATATAATATAGATGTTATCATTATGATCATGATAAAGGTTATGATGATAAATATTATCATTGCTTATTGTTTTGTCTCTTAAGACAACAGAGCTGCTCCAAACTGTGACCTTTAAGTACTCAGGACTCAGTAATTGTTGTCTGAGTGCTCAGGGTAGGAGGCATTCCCCACCTGCCTCTCTTCTGAAAACTTCCAATTCTTCTGGCTATTCTGGAAGATAAAGGAAATTACAGCTACAAGTAACGGATTGTTTGACAAGCATTGTATTTCAGGATTTGTCCATGTGATTGGATCCATCTCTGAGCTTTGGAAGGAGGTGTTATGCTTCCTATGACATCTGTCCTTACAGACAGATTGGATCCTATTAGAGAGTCATTTAAAAGAAGCTAAGAACCACCCTTGTTTATTGTAAGTTGAGAGATTTTATGGCCTAATGGGAATGCGAAGTTGTTAATATCTGATTTTATTTTTGCAATACTCACGGAACAGTTTTGTAATAAGAAGAAAAGCTTCCTTCTTTTCTTGTCTACATGGTTTATTCTAAATGTGGTTTCCTTCCCCCACCACAGCATAAACACATACACACAACAGATATATTTGACCTCTGGGGCCACAATCACAAAGTACACAAGCTGGGTAGCTTAAAACAAAATTCCTGTTTCACAGTTCTATTGGCTAGAAATTCAGAAAGTCAAGGAAGGGCCATGCTTCCTTCACACCTGTCAGGGAAGAAACCCTTCTTTATGTCTTTGCAGCTCCTGCTGCCTCCTGGTTAGCCTTGGCATCCCTCAGTCTCTGCCTCTTCTGCCATGCCCTGTTGTGCACCTGTGTATTCACGACATCAGACTTACTGGATTAAGGTCACTTTCCCTCATTCCTTCTTCAAGTGTGAGCATATCCTAATTACCTACCTATGCAATGATCATTTTTGCATGTTATGTCCTGGTACTAGGGCTTGAACTCAGGGCCTGAGTGCTGTCCCTTAGCTTTTTTTTCTTTTGCTTAAGGCTAGTATTGAGCCACAGGTTTACTTCTAGCTTTTTGGTGGTTAATTAGAGGGAAGAGTCTTGTGGACTTTCCTTCCTGGGTTGGCTTCAAACCTCCATCCTTAGACCTCAGCCTCGGAGTAACCAGGGTTACAGGTCTGAGCCACTGGTGCCCAGCTGCAGTGAGTCTTTTTCAAACAAGGTCACATTTCGTGACACAGGAGGTCAGAACTTCAGCTTAGCTTGTGCAGGATGTATATGTCACAGTTCAAACCTATCCAAGCCATTTATATAATAAACAATACGTACTCCTTTTTCTATCTTAGAAATGGAGAAAGGCTCAGAAAGCTCACAGGACTTGGTGGAAGTCAGAATCGCTGATGAACAGAGCCGGTCATCATGGTGTCCTTGTCCTACGGGCACATGTGGCTATGATCCCAAGATGAAGCTGACAGGGACCTGCTCCAGCCCAGGGCAGGGGTGACACACATACAGTGTTGCAGTTCTCATGCTATTGTTTAGACTCAAGAGAGCTCAGTTGACATCTGTCTCCACACTTCTGTCAGAGGAAAGATAGGGGCCCATCTGCAGCCCACTGCCTGGTCTGTGTTTCATCTCATAGCATGATACACAGGAAACAGATGCTTTTTTTCCCACTCGTAGGACTTTTTCCAGGAAAATGATGCTGTGATTTCTGAAGTATGCTGAACATTTTGTGACAGGAACACATGTTTTCTTCTCACACAACAAAGAAAAATTATATATATATATATATATATATATATACAAACACCACATATACGTATATGTACATCCACATATGCTTGACAGCTGAGTCAATGGCTCATGACAATACAATTAGGTGATTTCGAAAGCATTCATACATTTTGCTTTTCCTGGTAGTTCAACATTCCTCCTGACAGGGATGCTCCTCTTGCCCTTTGTGAGTCCAAAAGAACACTAGAACCAGGTTTTAGGCATGGTCTTAAAGGAGCTTAAGGGAGCCTGTGCACTAGAAAGATCTGGACACGTGTTGTGGGGACTCCCAGTGAGGAGTGTTATCCCCAGGCTGGGCCCAGTGCCGTGAAACAGTCAAAGACTATCATGCCAGAGGAGAGACTAAAGCTCGGTGCCCATGGCTGAACATTTCATTTGGGAGGTGAGATAAAGCCATAATGGGAAGAAAATACCATCCTGTCAAGGGTGGGAACTAGTGCCATACCAACAAGGAGCCTGTGAGGCAGTGGCGGGTACAGAAAACTGCCAGGTGATGACACAACTGTCCTAACTCTGGCTACTCTCTGCAAGATGCAAGAGGGGAGGCTCTCAGAGAGGCCCTAGGGATGGCTGGGCTCCTCCCCCCCCCCCCCCAGGTTAACCATGTTCCTGGTGCACTGTGGTGTGGTTTTCTCCCAGGGTTCTTTCATTTTTACCTCTGTTGTAAATGCAACTTTTTAGTCTCCCCCAAGCATTGGGGCTTTGGTTTTCTACTCAACGACATTGGAGCTGTGTGTTGAGGCTGATTTTGTTCTGAGTACAAAAGAGTCAAAAGACCAACATGGCCTCTCCTCTTCCTGCTCTCTCATAGCACATACTCATGTGTATCATGAGGGCACATGGGGCTCTTAAGGTCCTCACAGTCTTCTACTGAATTCATATGCCCGGGGTCCTTGTGTAGTGTCCCTGCAGAATGCTGCTCAGCCACACCACGCAGGCCTGGCTGAGGTTCATTGTCTGTGTGGGAACATAGTGGCCAGCCCCTTGTAAGACTTGTGAACTCAGGGGCTGTTGGTTTGAATTACTTCTCTGCTACAAACAGCTGGAAAGTACTATGCTCTTCACAGTGAAGGCCAAAAAGTGCCCATGACCAGAATTTAGAGATGCTAAATTTAGTGCTTCTTCTTTTCACTCACTCTAGAGTAGAAACAAAATCCTGCCTGATTTCCCAGTAGTGGTGGATGGTTGAGCAGTGCAGAATGACTCCTTATATTACATCACATTATAAAAATAGTAAGGTAAAACTCATACAGCATAACATTAACCATTTTAAAAGTTGGATGCATTTAGTATATTCAAAATACATCTTGTATAGAAGAGGCTGAACCTCTGAAACAGTCCTCCCCATTTGTCCCTCCCCCTCAGCCTGTCAACTGCCAATCACCTTTGTCTCTGTAGATTTACCTAACTTAAATAGCCCATACAAATGGAGTTGTACCAGAGGTATGAATTTGTATCTGATAAAGAACTTATTTCTAATTACAAATCATTGATTGCCCCCTCCCTCACACACACATTCCCTCGCTATGTGAGGAGAGCTGTGTGCCGTAGGAATATTTACCTGCAAGAAGAAAACCCCGTCTAACCCACCTCTCTGTCATTGTTTCATATGACCACTGGTGGTTTGGAATGAGGTTACTTCATCTACAAGGATGCAGACATCCTGATTTCACCTGATTTCACTTCTACCATAAGGGCTTAATCCTCTCCGGCACCTTACCTCCTACCCCTGACTTGTGCCATTGTTCTGGTGGTTTGGACTCTCAGTTTATCCCGTCAATCATCCAGATGAACCTGTAACTGATATTTTGGCACAGGGAGAGCTAGAGATTATATTGCTGGCCTACACTACAAAGCATAGTCTCTCCTGTGGGAGTTAAATGATACCCGCTGTTGAAGATGAAAATTTGAAGAATACTTTACACTGTCATCTCCTGGGGGCCCATCCCCCCTCCCTGGTCCCTCCCCTCCATAAGGAGACTAAGCCACTACTTAGGGAGGGCCTGGGAGGCAGACAGCAGAGGCCTGAAATGCGAGCCTTCTCCCCATCTGGCCAAAGTAACCTAAGACTCTGGCACAGATGAAGCTACGGAGAAGGAAACCGGATGCAAGCAAGGTTGTGAAGAGAACAAAATTCTTCTTAAATCCTCTTGTGGCAGCCAAAGGGCCAGCTAGTCTACTACTCTGGGAGCGAGGATGAAGTTGAGGTGGCATTTGTCCGTCTCTTTTCAATTGGAGAACAGTTATTTATGGTCACTGGGGCACCATGCTAAATACAGGATGAATGGTGGCTGCTCACCACAGCATGACTGTCATGAACTGTCTTGTGGGCTGGTTAAAATGAAATCATCAGCTTCCTGCTCCAATAGGTCATGTCCAGGCACCCCCAAAATATACCCTTTCTAGTAACTGATAGGCAGCGTGGGGGAATGGTGGGCATGGGGTGAGGGTTTTTGAGATTCCTCTCCCTCTTCCCTTTCCTTTTCCTCTACCTCCTGGCCTCTCTTCTCCTTCTTCCCTCCCTCCTTCATTGTATCCCTCCCTCCCCTATTCCCTCCCTGCTTCCCTTCCTCTCTCCCTCCCTCTCTTTTATTCCACTAACCCGTGTGGAGTTTCTTATATGCAAGACCTATGCTAAGGACAAAGGAGATGGAATTAGACCCTGCCATCCATCCAGGGGTTCATGGTCACCCCCTCCTTCCTGTCCTCTCTGGAGTGACTCTGTGCTGTGTATCTCCCCAGGAGGAGGCACCTGGGGAATCCTTTCTGCCAGGGAGCCCTGGAGGCCAGCACAGTCCTGGCAGACACTGAGGGCCAGGCCCCATGCAGTAGACTTCACTGACTTGCAGTCAGATGTGTAAACAGATAACCAGCTAGAGTGTGATTAGTGATAGTTGAGAGAGTTTTGCACAGAGTGCTGGAGAGGAGAGAGGGCAAAGTAAACAATTGCCATGGGGAGCCAGAGGGCATCCCAGAG